TGTTTTCATTACATTTTAAGGTAATTGTCTATTCTTAGAAAGTGATACTAATTTTCCATTTGCCAAAGTGATATGATTCCTTTTTAAAATAAATTTACATCAAAAAGTGAGCTGATTTAAAAAGTATTAAATACTACTGTTAGATACAAAATTAGAATGGTATGTGGAAATCATCAAATCCATGAAGATCTTTCTATAGTGCCTGAAGTTTAGAGAGCCCTGATTTAAAGTCTAGTGACCACATATGTGAATTAAAAGCTGCTATTTTATAAACTACCCAATTAATTATTAAGTTTATGACTGGAGAACTTTTTCCTCAGACTAATGTTAAGGGATGTGAACAATAGCCCCATTTTTAGGATAACCGTATTTAGTCACTCATTTTCCAGCTGAACAAACTGCAGGCCAAGGAGCACTGGTGACCTGTCCAAGACCACAGGTGAGTCCACATCTCTGGAATCTTGGCCCAGAGAACTTCCCTCACATGGAAACAGGACACGATAAAGGAGCTGTGGTTTCTCTACTTGGTGAATAGAGTTTAGGCAATTATAGTAAAGGACGTTCCAAAATAAACTTTACTTAAATTTTGAACCACATCAAACTGGAAGTACTTGATTCAGAAAGAGCAGAAGAGCTGTCTAGCCTATTTATACCAGCTGCTCCAAGAAGACTTGCTCCTCTCCATTTCAGGTGGGTAATAAGGACCGAACCCTCAGAGGAAGCCACCCACTGGGTATATAAAAAGTACTGGGGAGATGCAATTTTTCTGGCTTACTGTAGAGAGATTTTGAAAGTTAATTTGTATGTTTATCTCTCTTTTTTCATGCCTGCATCCAGACAACAGAATGAGTTATCAGCTTATCTGAAGTTATGAACCAAACCTACAGCTTACCCATAGTTCTGACTGGCATTCCCAGTCCATTCACTTTCCCACTCTCCCAAGTGATGCTTCAGGTACGCCCCTAATTCCTAGATTTCCAATATCCCTTCCCCCTCTCAGCTCTTCACTGGGAAGGTGGAAGCTATTAGAAGAGTACCATCGAATTCCCCCAACACCAAATTTAGCAATCTACCTCCATATACCCCCTATTCAGAATCTAAGCTCCACTACGTTATAGATTTTTTCTTGTTTTGGTTACTGCTTTAACCCCAGCATCTAAAACAATGCCTTACAAATAGATGCACAACAAATATTTGACTAAGTGAATAAAAACACTGCCTTCTCTTTTGACATGGACAATGAACTGTCCCCTTGCCTACTGAGTCTAACCTCTCCTGAGCCTGGATCCCAGCCATCTTGCCTGCCTATTCAGATTTCGCTCCTGCAGTAACCCCTCTACAGCATTCATTTGTCCCCTTCTAATGGAATATTCCAATCAGCATATAATCATGCCATACTATCTCCTTAAAAATTAAATCCTCCCTTAGTTCCCCTCCTCAGCTACAACCCATTTCTGTTCCCTTCTACAACAAAGCTTGAGTTGTCTATAGTGGCTGTCTCTACTCCAATCCCCTTCTGCTCACAATCATCTCCAACCAGGCCTCCATCCCCCAAATTAGCAGCTTGTTCAACTCAACAACCCCCCCAATCTAATCTGAACAGCACTTGAATGAGTGGATGATTTCCTTATTGGAACACTTTGTTTCTGGTTCATCTCACCCAGCGCTCTCAGGTTCCTTTGCTGGCTCCTCCCCTTTTAAATGTTGGAGTACCACAGCGCCAACCCCTCCCTCTTCCACATCTACTTGGTTGCTACTCAAAACGTGGACCCCAAGGCAGTAGCATCAGCATCACTGAGAAGCCTGTTGGAAATGCAGAATCGCAGGCCCCACACCGGCCCTACTGAATCATGAACTGCATTTTAACAAACTGAAGTGACTCACATGCATATTAAAATCGGAGCTCTAATTACCCGAGTAATTTTAGTCACATGACTTCAAACTTCGTTGAGTGACTTGCCCAATATTTGTCTCTTGTCCCAAGTTCAGTCATATTCAGGGCCCCATGCTGGATTCTACTAGAAATCTTAAGTGCAGAACAGAAGTCTTGCTGTTTTTTCTCCTCAGGCCAAAAACCCGAGTCACCCTTGTCATCTCTTTGCCTTCCAATCCCTGGGCCAAAGTTCTGTTGGCTGTACCTTCAAAACAGAGTCCTTCTACTAGACACTACTGCTGCTGCTACCACCCTAGTCTAAGTCACCAACACTCCTAAATCTCCCTATTTTCACCTGGACTCCCTACAATAAACTCTGTACACAGCATCTGGAGAGATCTTTAAAGATCTGACTCTTCCGCTAGATGTATGGTCCATGAGCAGGGACTTTTTCTTTTTACAGCACAACTGCTTAAAACAGTACCTGGCACAGAAGCACTCAAATATTGAGTATTCAAGCACTCGTGATGGAATGGCTGAGGGCAGGGGATACACTCTCATGTGTGTATCAGCATGTACATATGCTTCAGAGTTGCACAGATCTGGTGTAGAGAATCTACCAGCGGTTTTTAATAGATTGAAATTTTCAAAATGTGGCAGTGGTTCCAACTTTTCTTTACATTAGAATGGGGATATTTTAAAAATTCTGATACTTAAGCCACATTCCAAATGAACTGAATCACAATTGCTGGGGGTGGGGCACAGGTATAAATCAGTATTTTTTGAAGCTCCCAACGTAATTCCAATGTGCAATAACTTTGGGAGCCACTGGTATATATATTATGAGTTCGTATCCATGATATGAGATGGTATATGAGATCTGGAATACTTAAAAGAAATCCCAATTACAATGTTATGCAAGCTTAAGACTTCTATTTCCTAAAAGGTATAGAAAACAAAAGAAAATTCATAAAAATAAAACTGTTTCAAACATTAGGTCTTAAAGAGGTAGTACCTCTTCTAGGATTTTCCAGCCTTATTTTTCTGTCAAGTGTAATCCAAACTTGGCTACTTCTCTTAGGAAGTTTTATTTTTTTCTCCCATCTGCAAATTTACGTATGAAAAGGGGTAACTTCTATGTAAGTCACATTTGAAGGCTTTTGGGGGATTTGTACATGCTGTTATTAATATTTTTAATGGTGTCAGATAAATAGCTCCATTCTGGTAAAAGGCTGTAATGACCAAAACAAAATGCTATATCCTCAAGACAAGGATTTTTTTTTTTTTGAGACAGAGTCTCACTGTGTTGCCAGGGCTAGAGTGCTGTGGCGTCATCCTAGGTCACAGCAACCTCAAACTTCTGAGCTCAAGCGATCCTCCTGCCTCAGCCTCCCGAGTAGCTGGGACTACAGGCATGCGCTACCATGCCCGGCTAATTTTTTCTATATATTTTTAGTTGTCCAATTAATTTCTTTTCTATTTTTAGTAGAGACGGGGTCTCGCTCTTGCTCAGGCTGGTTTCGAACTCCTGAGCTCAAACAATCCACCCACCTCGGCCTCCCAGAGAGCTAGGATTACAGGTGTGAGTCACCGTGCCCGGCCCAAAAAGGATTTTTTTACAACTCAACTAAGAAAACAAATTCTTAATCACACTAATATTTCTCACTCAAAAAGTAATCAACTGGCTACAATCATCAAAATATCTGTAGGACAGAAGCTAATCAAATATTGTGCATTTACCATCTCTAAGCTCACCTTTAAACTGTCTTCATATCTCAGAACAAAGGACAAAATTAATGAAAGAGAAAAATACGTCATTTCATTATTTAAATCCTCACTACAGTGCAAATACTACAGATTTCAAAAGAAATCTTGGGGATATTTAAGCCAACTGATTTTACAGGTGAACGACATGACACTCAGATGAGATGGAATGACATACCTAAAAGTCACACAGGAGAGCTAGAAGAGAAAAAAACATTTTTTTTTCCAAACAAGCCGACAGGATTTTTCACATGTTAATCAAAAAGAATCAGATCATCAGATTAGGAAGAAATGAAGAATTAAAAGTATGTTACACATAGATTTAAAGAGCCAGTAAATCTGCTGCCCCCCAAAAACAAAATTTTCTTAATGCTTAATATTAAAATAATAGAATCTTGGAAAATTCAATTTACAAATACATTATTAATTGCATTGTTAAAATGAAATTAGTTCATTAAACGAGAAAACATCAAACAGCACCAATACCAGAAAGTTAAGAAGGTAAATACATTGTTATTTAAAATAATGTATAGTCACCGATTGGGATAGAAACGAACAATAGCCACTAGCAAAACTACTTAAAACAACTGTTTGACATAAAGGTAATATTTAAAGACTAGTATATGCCTTTTCCCCACTGATAGGCCTGTGGCTAACCATCCCAGCCGTGGGTCACATGGAAAATATTATTAATTAAGATGCATTTTTAAGTTGCTCAACCTTGAACCATGATACTACACAACCCAAAGTGTGCCAATATAAGCCAATGGCAGCATTTTTGGTATCCTAACTACTCTTACCTGTCCCCATTAAGACAAAGCAGAAAATAACTTCCTTATTCAGCACAAGAGTAAGTGTTAGCTATGAAGCAGCAGCAAGGCATTTACAAATGGGCTACTGACAAGTGTTATCAAAATGCTACTGAGGAAAAGACAGCAGCAAATACTCTAATAAGAGCACATTATTCCACATGGAATCCCAAATTATTCTTATCTCTAGTTCCTTCAATTCCTGGAATGCTAGAGATGAACAAGTATATATATAAATGGGGACAGGGAAAAATAAGCTCTAAATGGTATAGTGTTCATATTTTTAATTACCCAAGATAATTTGATGCTTAGAGAGAAATCCAACTATATCTAAATTTTTTTAAGCACACAGAACTAAGATGCTAGCAAAACTTTTGTGTTTACCCAACAAATAGCATTGCAGTTTTACGTGAAAATAATATAGGCATGGTTTGTGAAGTTTTTATAATGTTCACACCACCCGCTCCCTGTTCCCTGCTCCTTTCAACAGGTGATCTGAAGACTACCTGGTTTAAAATATTTGGTAATTCAGTGCAGAAAATTAAGGTCACAGACAAAGTACAACAACTTTTAATACACCATTAATACTAATGATTAAAAATTATTGCATAGTCTTATGCATTTACCCTAAAACATTTTCTGAAAGTAAATGAATTATATAAAAGACAAATAACCCTTTAATACGTGGATGGCCTTTACTACCTCGATCTTCTATCCTTTTTTGTCTTTTCAGTACTTTTGTCCATTGTTTTCTCATTATCTCCCCTGCACTTTGGGCAATACCATTTCCCCTTTGGTTTATAGGTAAGTGAAACACATGAAAAGTGAAACCATTCAATTGGACACTGTTCATTGTCACATCCTATCATTTCCCCGTAAGACACTTGGTTGCATAAACAGTATGTGGGTTCATTGGGATCTATCGCAAACTCAACAGGTGAAGCTTCCCTTTCCTGCTTGGCCTTGGAGCGTTTCTTTTTCTTTGCTGACTTGGATTTCTTTTCTTTAGGTGGCTGATCATCACAGTCTTCAATCCCATTTGTCATGTGACATAAGTCACGGCTTTCACTGGTCCGCTGTCTGCGGGGTCTTCTTGAAGATCTTTCTGGTTGGCTGGAATCCATCTTTGCTTTATCTGAGGCTCGTTCACTTTCAGCAGGATCTTGGAAACACTGTGAATGCAATTCCATTTGTCTTGCCCGATTTTCCACCAATTCGAGCATTTGTGTGACAATCTGAATTTTTTCATCTCCCAATTCTTGACTATTGATTAATGCTCTCTGGAGAAGCTGCTGAAGGCGTTTTTTCTGGTTTAAATCATCTTCTTTCTTATATTTTTCATAGACATCATCAATTTCCTTTAATGTTTCTAAAAAAAGAAAAGTAAGTACATTATCAGGTGTTAGCACACATAACATTTCCAAGTTAATTATTTTTCACAGAATTGGTGCCATCAGAACTAACTCAAACCAGGAAACTACATTCCTCTACAGTATATGTATACATTAACATGATTTCCCATACATAAACCACATTATCTAATATGAAGGTGTACTTAGAAATAAATTCATGAAAAGAAAGAACACAAAACTCTACTACTCATTAATCTGTATTAAAAAGGATAAGAGATGTGTGGTAAATAATCAAAAGTATTTCGAATGGGCAGGAACACTGTATGCCACTTTATCTTCTACCTAGTGCCATATCACTTATAGCTCCTTTGAACTTCAAAATAACCTTATATAATAAATAAAATTAACATGCAGGACTTCAGCTATAAAACTTGAAGAGGTTCCAGGACTAGCTTACAGATTACTGACAAACTGTGTTTACAGTTCAATCAATGACTTGCTACATGATTCCAGAGAGACATTATACCTTCATTTTTACATCATACCTCTGGACATTCTTAAACTAAGCAGACATTAGCAATTCTTAGTTTCCCATCATCTTAGTTTTAATGGTTCTTTTATTTTATCACACGGGAAATTCTGAAAACCAAACTATTTCCAGGGTAGGTTCTGGTTCTGGCATCGACTGACCCAGCCACTAACAAAAATTATAGTAAAGTCAGCACTGGATCACTCTGCCTTTGTAGATAACTCAGCAGTTGGTTCTAAGCTTTCAGAACTGCTGATTTAGTTGTATAACATGTGGGATACTTATTTAACTCAAGTAAAAATAGCTGAGTCACTAGAAGGTATTAAAAAATCTGAAAATATAATTTCAGATGTCACCAAAAATTTACTTAAGATTAATTTGATTCAACTCTGTTTTATTTCTTACCCTTATCAGATATAATGCTATCTGAAAGAGGTCTGTCCTGCTAAGGGATGGAGAAACAAAAATTAACTCTAATTTATCACACCTCATGGCATACCACTGCTTTATATTCCAATATTATTATTCTTAAGAACAGAAATGTTAGACAAGTAAATATATACACTGGGGCTGTCTACAAGTAAGGTAATACAAAGTAATCATTCAACACAATTCTTGCTCCTTCCTGGAAACTGCAGGTACTCACATTTGATGGACAACTGTTTAACCTGGAATACATGACACCACACAGTTGAGGGTACTCATATCTGATATGAACCAAGTTCATATCTATCCCATTTGCTCAGCTAGACATCTAAGTAGATTTCTCAAGAACCTAGTTTTCTAAGTATATTTCTTAAGAACCTAATTTTCCTACAAGAAAAATAAGGAAATTACATATTTTCCCCTCAGACACAAAAAAATTTGAGGATTAAAAAAAGGCAAACCTCATTTCAAATATACTACATCTAATAATCAGGTGCTAGCAGCTAATTACATTATATATCATACCAGCACACTGACATTATATATGAGATAAAAATTCATTTTTTTCTTTCAATAACTTTGGTACCCATCACATTTTTAAGACACCTTATTATGTACTGAAAGAAGAAAGGAAATTAACCATTTACTTAGCCCCTTCTATGTGGTAAAGATTTTCTCAGTTAACCCTTACAGCAACCCCCAAGAAAGCCATCACTGCTACATGTGAAGAAAATGAAACTCAAGTAAGAACCCCAGACTCTGAACACTGCCCACCTGTACGTCTAATCCCACACTTTAAGCACGTTCTGTAAACCATAGGAAAGGCAATTGAAATAAAGCATTAAATTTTAGTTCAAAGGTTGTTTACCCAAGAAATTATGAATGAGAATACTGAAACAAAAACAAAGGTTCTCTAAAAACCCTATCCCATAATAAATACTTCATCTAATTGTGAAATTTTCTTCTTTCTCTATTTTATAGCTTCTTCAGTAATTTCTGAAAGTCTCAAATAGGTGGGAAATTTCTTTGATTGCCTATATAATCTATTAAATGTATCACTGTATTTGCTTAATATATTGCTATTAAGTATTAGATCCAAAACCAGAAAATACTTAAGAACTAGTAAAGAAATAAAAAACATGAAAGTATATAAAGTTTACAAATATAAAACTGTTGAGCTCAGTAACCATGTACATGGAGTGAAAACTAGATCACTATTTTTATATTAATCTTCAAATTAATCAAAATCTTAATGGAGCTGAGCATTTTTATAACTTCTCATCTTGTAAGGCCTACAATATTACTCATGTTACCAGAGCTACTTATGACAATTATAGATGATCGGATAGATTTCCCTGTCAACAAATTATAGTGTCCCTCCCTAACTTCAAATAGATTAACTTTTGTGAAGACAAACACGTGCCTTTAAAGAAATGTAAAAATCTACAAGCTTTACAAACTTCAGTGTTATTATCTGAAAAACTAAAAAGGTTGCATACACAGTTCTTAAGTACATATGATCATTTTTAGGTTACCATTCACATACGTGCTCCATGTCTATGGAAAATATCACTGGACAGCTCTTCTCTTAAAAATTTAAAATAGTTTGAAAACAAGGATGTGCACCTGAAGTGGCAGGCTTTAGAGCCAAATATTCTACATCTAATTAGCTGGACAAGTTATTTAAACTCTTTGTAAATTTTAATTTATATGTGAAATGAGTTTTTACTTTATATAATGGCCTGGACCTGGCAAAGTGATTGCTATACAGTAAGCAATTAGTGTTAATTCTCCTCCCCTCAAAAGATCAGTCCTATCAATCATATGGATTCAGAAGACAGAAATAAATTTATAGATTCAAAAGCACAGAGATACTTAAATGTTCTAACATGCTACAGGTCAGAAAATGTCATCCCAGGAGTGGATTCCTTAGAGACTAAACCATAGGATTAGTGACGTGTTTACAAAAACAGAGAATGGATCCAAAAAGTTATCTTTGAAATCCACACGGCTGTTTCCGCATTATGTTCAAGGTCTGTTCCTTGACTGAGGGTTATTAAACATCTCCACATTCAAACTTCTCCCACTCTAGTAGCAGACGAAAGGTCCACTGATAGATGATAAACGACACTCTGTAAGTAACGCTGAGTCTCTGTCCAGGCTTCAGTGGTTTTTGCCACATCACTTAAACTTGGCGGAGGAGCGACCCAGGGTAGAAGGGACGCCAGGTGGTTGCCCTGTCAACCAACCCACTTCCTCCTGGAGCCCGGAAGTGACACATGGCCCGGACCCTACGCCGTGCCAGGGTCAGCGACGGTCCCAGCAGCTATGTCCCCGTCCTGATTCATTGGTTGGGAAAAAGATTCGAAACATCACAACAAACATCTTGCAAACCAGAGCACTGGCTCTGCTAGGGCCGAGCTAACGCCCCGCACGGCCCCGACTCCCTCCGAAGCAGCCAGCTCAGCCTAAGCCCCTCCACCGACCAGCCATTTTCGAGGCCGACGGGAGCGCGCGCGCCGTGCCCCTCCCAGGCCCTGCGTCATGCCCGCAGGCCCCGCCCCCAGGGACAAGGGGGCCCTCCCCGCCACACACCCCCCTCTCTTCCCTTCCTGGCGGGGGAACCCTCCCCTTTTAACCATTTGGCTGAAGGAGCTGGGGAAAGGCTGCGGCCGCGGGCGGCCGGGAACTTTCCCGGGGCGGCAGAGGGGAACCGACTGCTCCATCCCGAGCTGGGAGCTGGAGCGCAGAGGGAGGGACCTCCCGGGAGTCCGCCTTCGCGGCCCTCTCTCGCCTCCTCCCACCGCACGTTCCAATGCATCTGCTCTCGGGGGGCGAGGGCCCTGGTGGGGTGGGGAGAGCCGGCCCCGCAGTCCAGCGGGAGCCTGCCCGCGGCCGGCCGCTCGCTCCCCCAAGCCCGCCGCTCGGCTGCACACTCCCTGGCCGGGGCGGGAGGGTCTGCGGCACGGGACAAGCTAGCGCTGGAACAAATGCTTGCTGCTTAAAATGGCTGATTCCCCTCCACGGCAGCTGCAGCCACCGGGTCTGCAGCGGGGGCTGCCGAGCGGCCCCCGCCCCCACGACCCCACAGAAGTCCTCGCCTACCGCCAGGGGGAAGGGAGGGCCGCGAACCGGTCTCCGGTCCCTCTTCCGCGTCCCACACACCAGACTCTTGTGCACTCGGGGAGACTGTCACAGGAGAAAGGAAAGTGGCACTTCCCCAAGCAGGCTCCGAGCGATCACGTCCCGAGGCCGGCGGATCCGGCTGGGGAGGACTCGCGCAGGCAGCCCCGCGGCCCCTACCTTGATATTTGTTGTCCAGCTCTCGCAGCACGGACACGTTCCTCTGCATGTCGTGGGGCAGCGACTCCACACACTCGAGGTAGTCCTGCACGTAGCAGGTGAGGAGCCGGCTCCGCTCCCCGGTCAGGAGCGCGGCCGACGAGTACAGTTGCTGCTGCTGCTGCTGCCCTAACATCCTGCCGCCGCTGGTGCTCCTCGCCGCCGCCGCCGCCGCCGCCTCCGCATCCAGCAGCCACACATGCAACAGCCACGGCCGCCGCGGCCCCTCCGCTCCGCAGCCCGGCGCCGCGGGGACACCGGCGGCCGCTCGACAGAGCACCACCGAGTCCCCCGATCTCCACTCCCCCCAAAAGAAGCCCTCACTCCCCGCCTCCGCGGTTACAAGCCCAGGGGCGGGGCGAGACCAGGGCTCCCTCCCTTCTCCCCTCCCTCCCCAGGACGAGAGCAGCAGGGATCCCCCCAGCGGAGCTGGCGCCGGGGTCCCGCGCGCTGACACTTGCTGTCCCCCTCGGAGTCCCCAGATGCTACCAAAGCCGTGTCGTAGCTCGGATCCCCATGACAAGCTCCTCGCTGCCCCCTTCTCTCCCAATCACCCTCGGTGCCTGTCGGAGAGTCTCTCACTGGACTGCCCCCGCCCCTCCGCCTGCGGCCGCGTCTGCGCCTGCGCAAGACTCGCTCCTAATAAGGCCGGGGGCCCGCCCCTACCGCCCTACCGAAGAGTTCGCATTCTCCCGCCTTCCCTCCGCCACCCGGGCGATTGGTCTGTCAACTCTCGGTTGGGGGGAGGGCGCGGAGGGCGGCCAAACGGCAGGCTGCGCCCCGCCCCTCCTTAAAGGGGAAGCACTGTCAGGCCCGCCTCTTTGCCCAGTGTCTGAATGGGACCTGAGAAGAAAGGTGGCTGACTTTCTCCTTCCGTCCTTCCCACAAGGAGGGAGGACCTTGGTCCCGCTCACTCGGCCCGGTGTTACCGACTTTTTCCCCATGAGGCGGTTCAAGCGCGGCTCCTCGCGAGCCTTAAAAGGAGCAGCGTGTGGCCACTCTCGCTCCGACCCGGAGTGAGGCCCGCGGGAACTACGCAACCCGGCGTGCAGCGGGGCGGCTCCCAGCATGCCCGGCGGCCGCGTTCCCGCCAAGCTCCTCCTCCGAGTCCCCTCGGCCTGCGTCTCTGCTGCCGCCGCGGCCTTCGGGCTCGCCGAGTGCTGGGGGCTAATCGGGGAGGTAGGCGGTCCTCGCTCCGGCCCCCAGCGTTTCCTTTCTCGTTTAGTGGGCCTGGCTTTTATTAATAAATGTCGCTCCGGCCTTAGCGTTCTTCGTCCCTTCCTCGGGCGCGGGAGGTCTCCCGGCGCCGCGGTACTTGGCCGGTGTTGTCCACCCTTCCCTTAGGAAGCTACCGTTTAATTAGTGGGAAGGGGTGCGTCTGCTCCACAAAGGTGTTTGTCCCACAGACCAGTTTGAGGGGTTCGGAACGTTTAAGCATTGAACGTCGGCGACGGTTTACGGGCGGAGTGAGAGGCACACTACCAGCCTTACGTGTCTTTTTTATTCAGTTTTGCCCGAGGACTAACAACTGGAGCGGGTAATGGAGATGGGAGTAAAAACATAATTTGCAATCAGGTCCACGGCCTTATCTATGTGATCGACTACCTGGGTTTAATATCTGTGTCATGTAAATGAAATGCCAGGCAGAGGAGCTGATTTTAATTACAGATGGACTTTGTGTACATATAATAACGTGTGTATTTGAAAGAAATGGGTATAAATAGAACGAATACACGGAGAATTTTAATGGAATGCCTATGTAAACAAATCCTATTGTGAGTGGTACCTTTTGAGTTAAAAAGAAAATATGAGTGGTTAATAAATTTGGGTTTTCTTATATCCAGTTTGCAGCGGTGATACACCTGTATTACACACCTATTTGGAGCACTTGTGAAACAGCTGTTAGTAAGTGGCCACTGAGTAGCAAAGAGAAATCTAGAACTTGATCTAGAGGAAATTTTAAATTTCAAACCAAAATAAAGCACTCTCGGGAATTCGATGTCTTGGGAACAACAGTATTGCAAAGGACTGGGAGATTGTCTTGCATTATTATCCTGTGACACTTTGAGGTTTTGACCACTTGACTATTAAGTCAACCTAGGCAGTACAGTGTGTTGTATTTCTGAGAAGGGTTTGGGGATATTACTGTTGTCATTCTTTAAATCTTTCAGATTAAGCAGCCAGGTCTTGTCAAAAACCGGTCACTCTGAAGAATTGAATTTTATTGATTTTTACCTGAACCCTACTATTTTTATTTCTTTACAAACTTGAATAAGTTAGCTTTATCAAAGGCCCAAAGTAATGCAAGAGGCCTTGTTATTTATTGACTCAGGTTAGACACCAAATGCACCTGTGGATTTTATTTAGCCTGATAAATGATCTGCAGGTAGATATGGCATGTGGTTAGCAACTAGAAGTGAGAAAAGGCAATGATGCAGAATACGTAGAGTACTCCCTCCAGAAACCTAGAGCAAGACGAGAGGAAAGAAGGATGAATATGGGATAGGAGACCTTTTACAGCATTATTTTCACCTTTTATAATTCTGTTGAACAGGCTAGAAGGAAGTAAAAAATCCAAATAATGATATTTCAGCTGGTACTCGTCTAAACCTATAAAGTACTCTAATATAATACATGTGTGTGTATGAATTGTTTCAGACATGTGCTTTGTTTGCTGTATTTATTTTAAAAGGTTAATCTGGGGCTTATTCCTGCAATACTTGTGAAAGCAGCCTGTGTGGGGAAAGCACTTACATTGGGGGAAAAAAAAATCACCATACTCCCTAAACCCAAGTCGACCTTGGCTATTTATCAATATCCTTTTCTTCTTAGTGGTCACTTAACTGAAAATTTGGGGCCTCTTCAGATTGAGTTTCCTGACTCTCCTAAATGCGAAATTTAAAGAACTCCCATTCTCTGCATCATAGAAGTTAATTGGTGATATTTAATCCCATGAATAAAGCAGAAAGGCATTTTATTTGCTCTTCAATATATTTTCTACCATAAAGCAACCCTAAAGAAGATAAATAACTGATGCTCCCAAATTCGTGTCTGGGATTACCTTTAATTTCTAAATCGGTTACTTAAAGAGTCCTTGGCAAGAAATGTTTATGCTTCCATACCTATTTTATGGGGAGAGCAACAACTTTTTTTTTTTTTTTTTTTTTAGACAGAGTCTCACTCTTTTTGCCCAGCCTAGAGTGAGTGCCGTGGCGTCAGCCTAGCTCACAGCAACCTCACACTCCTGGGCTCAAGCGATCCTTCTGTGTCAGCCTCCTGAGTAGCTGGGACTACAGGCATGCGCCACCATGCCCGGCTAATTTTTTGTATATATTTTTAGTTCTCCAGATAATTTCTTTCTATTTTTAGTAGAGACGGGGTCTCGCTCTTGCTCAGGCTGGTCTCGAACTCCTGAGCTCAAACGATCCGCCCGCCTCAGCCTCCCAGAGAGCTAGGATTACAGGCGTGAGCCACCGCGCCCGGCTAGCAACTTTAAACTGATTAAAAACAAACTAGCAAGTAGTTCTGAAAGATTCCTGAAGATACCTCCTGAGAAAATTCAGCTTCTGCTGGAGTTAGGCCAATTAAATTTGAAATCCTTTTCTTTTTTCCACTTTTCAATATTTTTAAATATTTATTATGGAAATTTTTAGACAAACACAAAAGTAGAGTTAATAGTACAGTAAATCCTTATATATAAGGATTCATGCAGCTTCAACATTTACTAACATATGGCTAAGATTATTTAATCTATAACTCTCCACACTCTTACCCTTGCTAGGTTATTATCACTTATCTGTAAATACTTTAAATGTGAACAAATAAGAGATAACAGTTTTTAAACATGTCTACAATACCATTATCCTACCCCCAATAATTTACGATCATTTAATATCCTGACAATTCAAAGTTTCAGATTTCCCTATTGTCTTATTAAATCTTTTTACATTTGGTTTAACAGGATCCAACAAGTCCCCACGCATTTTACTTGGATAGTGAAGTCTTTTCTAAACCAGGAAGAGGCTGCTGATTCCCTGTTTAATTCAATGAAGCAGAGAGCAGTGTTTTTCTAAGGAAGATATTTGGGTAGTTGAAAATCACTTACATATGTGAGGAAATTCAAGAAAATCTCTTTGATGAAATATTAAAAGATCACCAATTGATAGCCCATTGTAGAAATGTAATCGTACCTAATACAAATAAATCCTTAATAATCTAGGAGTTTGTATTATAAATAATTTATAGTAATTTGTTCCAAAAGGTCCAGTGAAGCATTCTAAATTATAGTGAAAAAAATCCAAAACTTTAAATCAATTCATTAGTACAAAAGGCAACTAAAAAAATTAATAGCCCACATCTCCCTTTAGCTCAGTTTTAAAGCATTTTAATTACTTTATTACATAAGTAGTACACACTAGTAGAAAAAATTAAAAATAGAGATAAAAAGAGGATATATAAAAATCACTACAAACTGGAGACAATTCTTCTCACTATCTAAATATACTCCCTGAGATGTAATTCTGTGTTAGCAATTTTTTGCTTTAAGGAAACACTTTGGCTAGGACTAAAGGGCAAAGTAAGAAATATCAGATTCTCTAGAAGGGATATTAGAAATCTGGGCAATGCCAGCCTATAATCGGAGTTTATGCGGTGGACAGCACAGATTTTAACGTTGGTGTATACATTCAGTCCTACTACTTTGGGTTATGGTATTGTTCAGCATTTAGGATGACTACTAACAGCAACAAGGATCCTAAAACATTTTAATGAAGGGACTGTGCATGACTGGAGCTAGTCAAGAGGAAATTTGGTGTAACAAAATATCATATTCCCATAACCAAGAAAAAAAACCAAACATACTGTCCCCTTGGTTATCCCAGAGAGGAAAAAGATAACACATATGGTATACTTTGCATATTGCTGACCAGAAAAACATTCAATTTTCCCTGGATGGTTACCATAGTTACATGAGCCGTTTATAACATCAAGAGGGGGAACTAGGTCACACTATTGAAGGAGTTTGAATTATGCAATTATGTCGCCTAAAAGCTGAGGGTAGGGTTTTAAATTTAGGGAAGAGAGATTTACACTATATTTTCAAATTTGAAATTCTGGTCTAATTTTGCCAGTGAACCTTAAAAATTTGTCCAAAATTAAATAGTCTAGTAGATATAAATTATTCAACCGATACAAATAATGTATTACCTAGATCGGTAAATGTGATAAAAGAGATTTTAACACATCTGTCCTTGTAGATACCCCTTTTTCTTAGCTGTCTTAACTTACAGTGTTTTTGCAGGTAATCAATAACCCAGCGATTGCCTCAAACCACGTGTAAACTAAAGCTTTGACCTCTTA